ACCGAAAGTCACCGAAGCACCGAAAGCCAAAGCACCGAGAGCCCCCAAAGCACCGAGAGCCAGCAAAGCACCGAGAGCCCCCGAAGCACCGAGAGCCAGCAAAGCACCGAGAGCCCCCGAAGCCGTGGAGTGTTTTGCGATGGGTGTTGTGCGGCGTCTGCGGTCCTGGTGTTGTTGTGGCTTGGAGCGTGTGCGTGGCGTGCTGTTTTGGTGTGCTTGTGGCTGGGATGACCTAAGGTCGGAGCCTTTGAAGGTGAAAGGTGGCTGTGATGAGAAAGTGTCTGAGCCGCCACATCGTTTGTGCATGATGCGTGGACTTCCGGTGGAAGTGACGATTTCGGATGATGAAGAGTTGATTCCGGATGCTGATCCACCAATGCGGGCGGAACCCGCTCAAGCACCGGCTGCTCCAGCAGAGCCTGTTGCTGAAGATGCTGGGAACGTTTCTGAAGAAGGGGAACTTCACGTTCCACTGGAGGACAAAGAGTATCAGGAGCACGTTGCTCGGGGTCACCAGCCCTATCTTCCTTCGTGTTCCCTGTGTGTGTCCAGTCGTGGAGTGATTCCAGCACGGAGGCGGAAAGATCCATCAATTCCGCAAGCGAGTTTCTTAAGTGACTTCTTGTTCTTTACGAAGGACTTGAGGGTGTGCCTCGTGGTGCACGAGCTTAGCGGATACTGTTTCGCTGTGCCCTACCCCACAGGAGGTGATCCAGGGCATGTTGCACGATGTATAAACTCCGAGATGGCCGCCGCTGGTATTCAAGGTCAGCATGTTGTGCTGAGAATGGATAATGAAGGGTCTCTTATCTCCCTTTGGCAGAAGGTGGGAAAAGACCGCTCATACACCGGCCTCTCGTTGCACATTGACGCGGTGCCGAAAGGGCGGCCGCAGTCGAAAGGGCTTGTGGAGGTAGGAGTGCGGCACTTGAAAGAAGCCTTCTGGGTTAACTGGTTAACTCTAGAAACTGTGCTGGGGAAGAAACTCCGGTTGGGTGGTTTGTTGTACAAAGAAGCATTGAGGTATGTAGCTAGGACCAGGAACCTGCATGCGACCTCGAAGTCGCAAACCACGCCGATTGAACGGCTGAGACGCCAGCACCTCCCAGTGACGAAGACGTTTCCTTTTGGTTGCAAGGGTTTTGCCAAACCGGCGAAGCAGAAACCTGAGAATCGAGGCCGCCGCCTCATCCCGTGTATGTACCTAGGGCCTGCAAAGCCCAATGGTGGAGGAGTGCGTGTGCTCCCTCTGGATCGGCCCGATGAGGTCGAAGTGATGTCGGCCTTTCGGCCGGATCTGCCTTATTTGTACCCTGAGGAGTTGGTGGTGCAAGCTGCTGATTCGGGTGCACCTTCTAGGCAAGACAACGTTTTAGAGCGTCCTGTTTCCTTAGACCTGAAGCCCCCCGAAGCCTTTCAGCCTGGAGAGCCTAAGGGTAATCTAGTTGAGAGGGGGAGTGTGGAGCCGGAGGCTCCAGCTGAGCTCTTGGAAGATGAGCTTATGGACTATGATCTTTCTCCAGCTGAGGAGGAAGAGGTCCTTCCTGAAGGGCCCCCTGCAGGAGAGAACGAGGCCCCACCTTTGTTCGACGTGGACATGCAGCCGGCCGACGATGATGATCCAATGGAGGTTGCGATCAGCTGGCTAGAGGACCATGCTTTGTACTCCATGTGTTCTAGACCTGAGGTTGTGTTCGCGGCAAAGGACGCTAAAGGGTCTAGGGGTTCCAAGTTGGAGTTCACTTTGAAGTTTGGAGGGTCCAAGGTGAAGGTTGAGGTTCCTTCTGGGGCTGCTGATGAGTATACTGGGGAGGTTCTTGATGAAAAGAAGCTTGGGGAAGGGATGCGTCTTGAGATGGAGGAACTGGACCACTTTGGTGTGTGCCAGGTTGTGTCTGAGAAGGAGGCCTTTCGCCTTGTGCGGGAAGCCAAGAGGAGAGTGCTCTCCACCAGGTGGGTGTTGCACTACAAGGACGGGCACAAGCGTGTGCGCTGCCGTTTGGTGGTGCGAGATTTCAAAGGGCCTACCTCTGCTCTTGCTGATGGCATCTATTCTCCTACTACTACCTTAGAGTCAGTGAGGTGTCTGTTGGGGATGTATGCGCATTTCGGAGGGAAGGTGATTTCGGGAGATATTTCGGTGGCCTTCATGCAGGCTAAGCTGTTTTCTACTGAGGTGGTGAAGCTGCCGGAGAACTGTAGGACAGTGTCAGGTGAGCGTGTGCATTGTCTGCTGAAGCGTGCCATGAATGGTTTGCGTATTGGGCCTTTGGCTTGGTTTCGTGAGCTAGGAGAAACACTGAGGAAGCTTGGTTTCTCTGTTACTGCTGACAGCACTGTGTATCGCAAGGTGATCAAGGAGAAAGGCAAGGATGCCATTGTGTTGGTGTTGGCCTATGTAGATGACATCTTGGTGTTCAGCACGGTTGCTAGTGTAGCTGAGAAAGTGTTTGAGGAACTGAGTAAAGTGTTTAAGATGAAGCGCACGGGAACGCTTCAACCGGGTGAGAAATCTGTGATCTCCTTCTTGGGGAGAAACATTTATCAGAAAAAGAATGGAGACCTGTACTTCGGGCTCAAACCCGGGATGCTCCATAGCTGCGCGGAAGAGTATCAGATCACGAAGGGAGCGAAACTTCCCAAGCTTGAGCGTTTGTGGACCAGTTTGGAATCCATTATTCTGTGCGCACAACAGCCAAAGGAGCCCTCTCCAAAGCTTGTAAAGGTGCTAAGAAAAATGAGGGTCGGAAGGGCAGTGCACCTGAACCCAAGGTTTCTCAAGCTCAGGGCTTTGCTTTTCTGTTTGCTGGCAAATCTGCTCCCTCCAGTCCTCCAGCAACCCTTGAGTGCGTGGAAGCAGGTGTGGCTCGAGTTTCTCAGCCTCAAACCACTGAAGTAGGCAAGGCCTCAACTTTTTTCCCCCCGGCAACCTGTTCGCAGGCCCCCAAACCGGGCCCTAAGCCCAAACCCAAGCCCAAAGCCAAAGCTGGTTCAGCTTCCCCTAGTGTCAAGATGTTCTTCAAGCCCCAGTCAGCGTAGTCGTCACCGCGCGCCATGGGCAAAGGAGGTCAAAACAAGGGGCAAGCAAAAGGGAAGGTGAAAGGGAAGGGAAAAGGAAAGGCCAAGTCGACACTACTACCTCAAGCAGCACGAGAACACGCAGCTGCAATCAACCGTGAGCGTGCAGCGCTGGGACTTCCAGTCCACTGGCAGTGTTGCCAGGTCCAAGGCTCGAGCGGCTGAGCACCAGCAAAGGACCCAGGCAATACCGGCAGCCAGCATAGGGGAGCCGGCGATTGCACCGCCGCGTCCTCCCGCCCCTCCGGCGCGAGGGATATCTCTCAGCGAAGCCCCTTCGGCAAGGGCTCATGATGAAGATACCGGGGATGAGGTTCTCTCCCCAGGTACTGGTACCGTAGAGCTCCGTGAAGCTCCTACAAGGGGTGAGATTCTCCCCCTTTCGTCTTCCTCGGAAGCCGAGCTGCTCCAGGAAAGACCAGATCGGGGTGAGCATCTCCCCCAATCGTCCTCCCCTCTGATGCCAGTTCGGTACAAGAAGGGACCACAAGCAGGACAGGAGGTGAGAATCTCCCTCCCAAATCTTCGGTGCAGAGGTTGAAGGAAATCTTCGCCAAGCACAAGCCTCGACTCACAGATCGGGACAGGGATCTTTTGGACTCCGAGGCCGAAGGTTCCGACAATCCGTGGTCGCGAAGAGTGCGGATGAAAGCAGGACCGGAGGCATCCTCTAGTCAAGGGATGCCCGGGTCGAGCTCAAAGCGTGCAGAGGAACCAAAACAGCCGGAGGAGCGAGTTCGCCCGAGGCCTCAGGCGGAAGGGGAGCTCCCGATGCTCCACGGCAAAAGAGTTGGATCTGCGGTTCCTCGCAATCCCCTGCGAGCTCTACCAGACCTGCTTGGCTTTGAATGGCACGAAGGGCAGCCAACAGGCACGTTGCTGTCCCTTCTGGGCAAAGGCCAAGACCGGGCTGGGTATTTGTGCGGGGACTTGGTGCTAAAACTCTCCGAGCACTCTCAGCGCCAAGAGCTTAACCTGGCGAGACTTCTCCCAGGCCTTGCAGCAAAAGTGCACTGGATGGAGGATGTCATGGTAATCCTCCATGATGCAAAAGGCGAGGTGCTGACCCTTCGCATGTCGGTCCTTTGCCAAACCCAGTGCATACAGGCTTTCGAAGTGTTGATGGCGCGTGGAGCCACATTCGCCTTTAAGTTCTTGTGCCACACAGCTTGCATTTTGGTGTGGCTCTGGTCGCAAGGGCTTCATCTCCTTGATTTAGGCGAGAGCAACCTAGGCATTGCCTGCAACACTTCTGCTGATCCTTACCCCGCAGTGCAGTTTTACGACCTACTCAGCTGGAAACGACAAGCCTGCCCGGACCACAAATGGCAGGGTTTCCACAGTCTTGCCCAAAAAGCATGCCCTTTGCATGCACGCTGGATCCATACTGTCTGCTCAGGCATTTCCAAAGATGCAGAGAAGGCCTTCTCTACTCTTGCAAGTGAATGCCAGTTCTATCACGACCGCCTTGAGGCGTTGGGTGTAATGGTTGACGGTAAACTCTCCAGACAACCAATTTTTGAGCAGTGACGAGCCCTCCCATTGCAAAGAAAGTGAGACGCAACAGGCAAGCACTTAAGGGTGAGTTTCTCCCCTTACAGAGATCTGGTTCGGAGTCTCTGCATGGCCAGTCCCCACCATGAGGGTGAGTTTCTCCCCTCAAAACACAGACATTCAGACAACTTTCAATCGTGATTGATTAGTCTTTATTCTTGCCCAAAAACCTTTTGAAAATTTTGGGTGCGAAAATTTTCTGTCTGCATGTCAATCGTTGTTTCGCCACACACTTTGTTCCCACGAAGCCTTTTTGGCTGAGGTGGGAGGTGGGAAACCCTAGCAACTTTCAAGGCCATATGGCTTGGTTTTGTTTTGTTGCTAGGGGTGTGTGTGTTAAGAAACCAAGTCAGCCTGCGAATTGAGCCATGGCTGACTCTGGCAGATCAAAGTTCCCACGGCTGGACGAGCCTACGAGCGACTTGGGGCGCTTGTATGAGCGGGCATTGAGTGAGGCAAGTGTGCAGCTTGCGGGTCAGGCTACCTTGAAGTTACCCTGGGAGAAGGGCATTTATGCCGAGATTTTCAGTGGTAGCGAGCTGCCTAGGATGCCTACCTTACCTGTGCCTGCTACACTTCCAGTCGTAGATGTTGCAAGACCTGGGACCCAGCACAGCGAAGCCTTGAAGCAGACATCAGATCCTCTGCCAAAATTCGAGAGTGCAGTCTACAAGCACTGTCTGCATAAATCAACTATTGCTGCTGGCGGGAGACCCGGGACAGATCGAGATGCCGTCTACAGGCGCTGGCTTTGTATCTTGGGCCATAATCTTGCTGGCTCTAAGATTGGAGAGTACATTGCTGATGGTGCCGAAGACCCTCTTGTTTTGATTGCGGACACCTTTGGAGGGAAAAGTACGAGCACCTTGCTTAAGAGAGCCAGGTTTGTCGCCCGGATGCTTACGTGGGCGTCTGAGCATAGTCAGACGTTTTTTCCGCTGCGGCTTGGACCATTGCTTTCATTCATGCGCAGTTTGGCATCAGAGAGTGCCAAGGCCCAGTGTGGAGAGACGATCAATTTCCTTGTGCATGTCCTTGGTGTGCATGTCGATCTGGATATTTTGAAGCATCCTGTAATCCAAGGGCTTCTACGGGGGTCTCGGTCAACAGGGAAAGAGATCAAGCAGTCCAGGGTACTCACTGTCCGGGAAGTTATGGCGCTCGAAGATATGCTCAGTGATGCATCCCTTGATCCTGTTGATCGATATGGTGCAGGAGTTTTTCTCTTCCAGATTTACAGCCGGGCACGAGTGTCCGACATCAGGAACATCCATCGCTTTGAGCTCGACCTGAGTGGAGATGACGGATACCTTGAGGCGAAAACGATGGACCACAAGAATGCGACCAGAGGACGTGGGCTGGGGCAGAGCTTGATTCTCGTTGCTCCGGTTCAGGGCCTGCGGGATAAGGCGTGGGGTATCCAGTTCATCGAGGTTGCAAAGATGGTTGGGTTCAACCTTCGACAGGGGCATCGTGGACCTTTATTACCTAGACTTACTGCCGAGGGTCAGTGGTCAGGGGAGGCGATCGGGTCTGATGAGACTACATCGTGGCTCAACGGTCTGTTGAATCGCGCTATGAGTGAGCAGATTGCGTCAGGGCTAACATCCCATGGATTAAAGGCAACAACCCTCTCCTGGATGACGAAGGCCGGGTATCCCGAAAAGTCTTGCCTCATTTTGGGACATCACGCGAGAGCGGGCAAGAAAACTCTTTACACATACGGCAGAGACGTGCAAGCCAAACCATTACGTGAACTACAAGATTGCATTCGTCTCATCAAGCGTAATGTGTTTGCTCCGGACTCGACTCGAAGTGGCATGTTCAAATCAGGCGAGAGCAGACATGAATCAAAGGCTGAGGTTACAGATCCTCTCATTCTCGCTGCTGAACAGTTCCGGTTTGGCGATCCTGATGAAATCATTGACACTGGAGGCGATGTCGGAAGTGAACACGAGCCCTTGCTCGAGGAAGGAAAGCCGGCTGACAATTGTGATGCTGAGCCTGAGCAGGATGCTGAGGATTCCGACTCGAGTACCTCTAGTTCTTCAGGTTCCTCTGATGACAATGCCGAAGCTTATGAGAGTTTCGCCAGTGATGCTGCCCTTGATTGTGCTGTGCCTCACTTAAACAAAGAGGTGGACTTGGATGTTTTCCAGAACCCCAAAACTCTTTCCCTCCATACCCGGGCGAAGGGTTCCGATGGCCCACTTATGTGTGGCCGCAAAGCTGAGGGAATGAAGATTTTTACAAGTAGGGTATACAGCAAGTTTTGGATGTGTAAGCAGTGTGAGCAGGCTCGACCGCTCAGGGACACGAAAGCTGTCGTTGCATACCTGAGCAAAGTTGCCAATCCCAAGAGTGCAGGACCTAGTGGTCTTCATTGAGGATGGCGAGGGCTATGGGCCAGCACAGCGCTTTGCGTGTGCACTCGCAGTTTTGGAGAACATGTGATGGGAAAACTACGCGAGGGCTCCGGGCCTGCATCGCACAGTGTGCCTGCGCTCGCGAACTTGTGCAAATCGGATTTGCGAAGGTTGGGCGAGGGCTTCGGGCCTGCACAGCACATTGTGCTTGCGCTCGCAGTTTACTATCGTCTACTTTGTGATGGGCTGGGCGAGGGCTTCGGGCCTGCACTGCACTTTGTGCCTGCACTCGTGAACTTGTGCAAACCGATGTGGTGGCTAAGAGTCTGCTTACCGTCGTGTGGTGGCTACGGGCCTGCACGTCGTCCTGAGGACGAGTGCAACCACATGACAGGAATCCTTGATTAGCGTGAGTACCGAATTGAGCCCAAAAGGTGTGTGGAACGTGGTGATGACACGTTGGTCACCCATGTGTGATTACGACTTGTGGGCAGCAGCGAGCTGAATGAATAGAGCCGTCTTATGCGCAAAAGACCAGCAGTAGTGTGTCGGCATGGCGGTTCCACTGACAGAGTCCAAGGCCGTGTTCTTGGAAAGATGTGAGACGGCCGGATTGCCAACGCCGATTCGGGACATCTTGGTTGGCAAGAATCTCAGTACCTTGGCAGGTCTCGCATTCGCAGCGGGGCAGCCGGGGGAAACACCGAGTGATGCAGCGCTTACCGGCCTGGCGAGATCCGGCACGGAGGAAGTTCCAATAGCGACCCTAGCCTCCTTGAGGCGGTTGGTGTTTGAAGCGCAGCTCCTCATGACCGCGCAGGTGAAGATGCTGATCGAGCATCGTGCCGATGACCAAAAGGCGGAATTAGCACCCGCAGAAAGATCGGAGCGAATCCAGAAGCAGAGCGAGCGCCTGGCCGGTGTTGCACTCCGCAACGAGTCAGAGTGCTCCTATGGGTCATATGATTTGGTCATGAAGATGGTCCAGGAGAACTGTGTCTCCTATTTGTCTCCAGCTAGGTTTCCGTCTCGGCAGGCCGAACTTCGTCTGGAGAAACCTCGAAAGGAGCTTGATGTGGTCAACTCAAAAATCACTTTGAAGGACCAGGCAGTCGATCTTCAATGCCAGCTTCACACGCCGCTGTGCCTGCATCATGCTCTTCATCGACGGGCACTTGCAATGGATCTCGTTGGGGTAGCCAGCTACAGTGTGAGCATGGAATTTCACGAGTACTTGATGTCACACCTTACCATGGAGCCACCGCCTGGCTATCATCAAGTCACACTGCATCAGGTTCTAGCAGCTGACCGAGCCGCTTGGTTGCGACTCGCGGAGAAACTTCCTAAAGGGCTTCGTGCTGGTCCCGATGGGAAACTCCCGCTGGATGTCGAGCTCCCGAAATTGCAGGGCGACCCGAAAGTGGCTTTTCATCTCTTACCTCTGGGACCTTCTGCTTCATCATCCGGGAAGCGTTCGATGGATGGCGACCAGGGCCAGAGCAACGATTCGAAGATCCAAAGGACTGGAGGCAAGGGTAAAGGGAAGGGCAAAACCAAAACTAAAGTTAAGTCTATGCCTGTGTCCCTCAAAGACAAGTGGTCGCGAACCAAACGCGGTGTTCCGATATGCTGGGCCTTCAACACGGAAGAGGGCTGTAGCTCAGCTCCAGCTGGAGGCAGATGCCCGAGGGGTGTCCACCTTTGCGCTGAACCTAACTGTCAAAAACCCCACTCGATCGTCAATCATGCGAAGGTTGCCAGTGGGTGAACTTTTCAGAACGCAGGTTGTGACTTGATTGAATCACTGGAGGTTTTCCATAACCGGGCTAGGGCTCGGGTAACTGGTGTTTCGGTCGAGTCACTCTTTGGAGTTGAAGTTTTTGCAGGGTCTGGTCGCTTGACTTGCGAGCTCCGCAGGCTGGGGCTTAATGATAGTATTGGTGTTGACAAGAATGTCGGCCGATGCTTGATCGCACCGGTGTTGCGTCTCGACCTTGGTGACGAGCAGGCGCGCGAGCTTGTCGTGCAAATGCTAGAAAATCCCAGTTGTGCCTACGTTCATGTTTCTCCCCCAGCCTTGAACCAGAAACATCGCAGTTTGAAGCACCGTGATGGTGCCGATGCTTCATGCTATTCAGCCTCGTGTAGCTTGTTGTACGAGTTCTGCGGGAAGCTCTTTAGCATGTGCTGGTCCAAAGGCATTCTCTTTTCTTGCGAAAACCCTGGACAGTCAGAGCTGTGGCGAACGCCACAGTGGTGCAAGCATACGTTGTGTTTAAATTCCATTGATACTGTTTTTCACATGTGCATGTGGGGATCTCTCAGCCCTCGTTTCACACGCATTGTTCATTCTGTGCCTTCGCTAACGCAGCTGGGTGTTCGTTGTTGCGGTGTAAGTTCCAGCCACACGCATGAGTCCCGGAACGTGCTCCATGACTCCACATTCCCCCTAGATCTCAGTCGTGCGTGGGCAAATGCAACTGTGGAGCAACTTGTTGCTTTGGGCGCCCTGCCGCGTGCGCGCTCCTTGGATGAGTCTCGAGCTCCCCTACACCGTGAAGCCCAGGTGGCAGCAGCTTCACAGCCAACACGCAAGAAGGTACCTCCTCTTGTTAGTGAATTTCGCTGCGTGGCGACAATTGACACGCCCAAGCCTTTTCTTGACACAGCTTCCAAGAAACTTGAGGGGCCAATTCCCATCCCTGCGGGTGCCAAGTGTGATACTACGTTGACCGTGCTACCGGCAGGTTCTCGCGTCATTCGCAGGCAGTTGCTGGGGGTGAGTTCGCCTGCTTTGAAGCTCGATGTAGGGTCGGAAACTAGCAATCCCACTAGCAGCCGTGTAGCTTCTTTTCCTGAAGTAAGCAAGCCCAGGCCTGATCGAGTGCAAGTGTGTTCTGAAGCCACTCATCCCGCAGAGGTTTTTGCTGCATCGTGCCTAAAGCTGGGGTATATCGACCCGGGAAAAATTTCCGAGTTCACTCAACTTCTTGAGTCGGAGCTTCCGGCCAGGGGGGGTGGAGGTCAGCACGAATTTTCCTTCACGGTGGGATCCTTTGTTCATGGCGGTATTTATGGGCTTAGAACTTCTTCGGTTAACTTTCCGCTGACAACTCAGGTCCTTGCAAGGTTCATGCGCCAGCAGTGCCCAGACGCTGTTTTCACGAGCCTGGCTTTGATGAGGGATGTGCAAACAACATTACACATCGACACGAACAATTCATTACCCTACCTGAACACTGTGGCGAAGGTCACCAATTTCGAGGAAGGGGGTTTGTGGGTTCACAACGATCACGGCGACATGCCTTGCCCTGATGCAAATTTTGGGCAGCTGATGGGAACGAAGGTCGACTTCGAAAACGGAGTTATCAGGTTCGATTCGCATCTTAAGCATTGCACACTCCCGTGGGTCAAGGGGCCCCGTGTGGTTCTAATAGGGTTTGTCGTGAAGGGTCCCGAGTTGATGCCATCGGACTTAGTGAGTAACCTTGCTGCTTGTGAGTTCAACATGCCGAATGAACCCCTTGTGCAGCCTCTCCCCAACGAGGAACACTCCTCACCGGCAGGGCCCGAGGAGTCCCATTGGCATAGGGTTGTAGTAGGCATCCCATGGTTACCCGAAGAGTTCATCGGTAAAGCCCTGGAGGCTACGCACCCGAGGCACTTGATGACAGGCATCCCATCCGAACTAAAGTCCACAATCGATCAGCTTGTAACCCTTAGCCCATTTGAGGTTGGAGCCGAGAGGACAGCCCAGCTTAGGAAGTGGGTTGCGAGGGTACAGGAGGTTGAGCCGATGGAAAAGTTGATCAAGCAGCGGATGAGCGAATCTTGTGCAAAAGTTCTTCAGAGTAAACGCTTAGTGGTCTTCAAAGAGATGCTTGAAGCCAGTGGTCACAAGGATGATTCGATAGTCGGCGACATTGCCGAAGGTTTCAAGCTTAGCGGTCCCATACCGCCATCTGGGGTTTACAGGTCAAAAAGAACTTCGGCGACCCTTACCACGGCGACGCTGAGAAGATCAGCACAGGTGCTTCGGAAAGGAATCATACACTCAACTAAGGGATCAGGCGACTTCGAGCTTGATTGTGCAACATTCGAAGCTGCGAGCTACTCGTGATGAGCTTCATCGAGGGTGGCTTTTCGGACCTGTGCCAGAGAAGGACCTCCCTTCTGAGGCAGTGGTTACCCGTAGATTCGGCATACGCCAAGGAGGAAAGTGCAGACCCATCGACAATTACTTGGAATCAGGTGTCAACGCGACAACTAGCGCTGCAGACACCATCACTGTCCACTCGGCCGATGTGCTCGCTGCCGCTTTGTCATACCGCATCCACAAGCTCCGCTCAAAGCGACTGTCAGCAAGCTTGTACTCCAGGTCGTGGGATCTTGCCAAAGCATACAAGAATCTTGCGCTCCACCCTGAATCAGTTCCTGATGCTTTCCTGGCCGTATGGAACCCACATACACATAAGACTGAGATCTATGGCCAACTGGTGTTGCCATTTGGTGCCAGATCCAGCGTACACTCATTTTGCAGAACTTCGCTGGGGATTTGGAACATAGGGGTGGTGTTGTTCCTCCTACACTGGGGGGTATACTTCGACGACTTCTTGGGATCCGAAACACCCCGCCTGTCCAAGCTGTTCGAACTCTGCGCAGACGGGTTGTTCCTGATATTGGGCTGGGCTACATCCTCTGACAAAGCTTCGGTTTTTGATTCCATTTCGATTGTACTTGGCCTGAAGATCAATCTCTCCGAATCTGGAATCGGCTTCGTCTACTTTGAGAATACCGACAAGAGGCGAGATGAGCTGGTGTCCACCCTCGGCGATGTCCTTTCTGCGGGGTTCCTTAGCCGCAAGGATGGCGAGCGACTACGTGGCAGGCTACAGTTCGCAGAGCAGCAGATTTCTGGCAAAAAGGCTGGATTGGCCTTTAAGGAACTCTCGAGGCATGTGACGAAAGGGGGCGGCAAGTTGGTACCCGAAACCATGGCTGCCTTGACCACCCTTAAAAACCACATTGCTTGTGCTCCAGCTCGCTGCATTGCGGATCGATCGTGCTTTACCTGGCACCTTTATGTCGACGCTTCATACGATGATTCGCGGGCTGGCATTGGTGGCATCTTGATCTCAGAGTCGGGAGCCTACATTGGCCACTTCAGTGAATTCCTCGACGATGCAGCTTTGACATCCTTGAATACAACTGGGAGCGAGAATCCGATCTTCGAGTTGGAGTGTTTCGCTATCTGGTGTGGCATTTCCGCTTGGGCACGCTTGCTTCGCCACTGCCATCTTATTGTATTCACTGACAACGAGGGAGCTTTGCACTCGATGATCAATGGTCGCAGCGAGAATGATTCTGGTGGCCGTATCGTTTCTGCTACGCATAACCTACTTGACGAAGGTTGCATTGCTCCGTGGTTTGAACGTGTCAACACAGCTTCCAACATAGCTGATTTTCCTTCGCGGGGAGTCTCTAAAGAAGAGTGGGGAGCGAGAACTCCCATTGATTATGTGCGCCTCGCACGGGTGGCTGAAGCAGGGGGTGACGTGCCACCGTTCGAGGCTTTCAGCTCGGCGGTGTAATGTGTGTGTGGTGTGAGGTCCCACACGTGGGCTCAGTGGGGCACTGCCGCATTTGCGGCGTGCCAACTTAGTGAATTCATCACCCCTTGACTTCGAGTATCGTCGTAAAAGATTGCCCGAGTGCGAGTGTTTGCACCATATTCATATGCAAAGATATTTGATTGACTTCCCGGCGATTCAATATATACTTTTACGATTTCACATATTGATGTGAATATCTCCGTTTGCGATTTGATTGACATGCGCGGTTTTTGGGAACAAGAATAAGACAACTTTCAATCGTGATTGATTAGTCTTTATTCTTGCCCAAAAACCTTTTGAAAATTTTGGGTGCGAAAATTTTCTGTCTGCATGTCAATCGTTGTTTCGCCACACACTTTGTTCCCACGAAGCCTTTTTGGCTGAGGTGGGAGGTGGGAAACCCTAGCAACTTTCAAGGCCATATGGCTTGGTTTTGTTTTGCCCACCCGCCCTCCCTTGGGGTGACGTGCCACCGTTCGAGGCTTTCAGCTCGGCGGTGTAATGTGTGTGTGGTGTGAGGTCCCACACGTGGGCTCAGTGGGGCACTGCCGCATTTGCGGCGTGCCAACTTAGTGAATTCATCACCCCTTGACTTCGAGTATCGTCGTAAAAGATTGCCCGAGTGCGAGTGTTTGCACCATATTCATATGCAAAGATATTTGATTGACTTCCCGGCGATTCAATATACACTTTTACGATTTCACATATTGATGTGAATATCTCCGTTCGCGATTTGATTGACATGCGCGGTTTTTGGGAACAAGAATAAGCTGCTACATACCGTCTCACGGATGGGCGAGCTTCTCCACATCCTGCGAGCGCACCTGAGGTGAGCTTCTCCTTCAGGGCGGTGCTCAAGGCACCCGTAAGAACAAGGTGAGTTTCTCCCTTGAGTGGGTGAGTTTCTCCCCACGAGTCTCGGGCGGTCCCCAGAGTGAGCTTCTCACTTTTGTGGACCCCAGACCCCCCTTTTGGCACCCGAGATGGGCAGGGCCCCGTCCGGTGTGCCCGTAGGTTTTCTGTTTCACCCCGACTACCCGTAGAGCACCGCTCCGGAAGGCCCAAATGGGCGCGCGACGGAAGTCCGCAGGGTCGAAAATCCCATTTGTCTTTTAAAGATGCCCCTCTTGCAGGCATGGGAGCCTCTCACGCCAAC